GAGGAGGAGGAGGATGAAGGTGAGGAGGAGGATGAAGATGATGAAGAGGAGGAGGATGAAGATGATGAAGATGAGGAGGAGGATGATGAAGGTGAGGAGGAGGAGGAAGATGATGAAGATGAGGAGGAGGAGGAGGATGAAGGTGAGGAGGATGAAGATGAGGAGGAGGAAGATGATGAAGGTGAGGAGGAGGAGGATGAGGATGAGGAGGAGGAGGATGAAGATGATGAAGAGGAGGAGGAGGATGAAGATGATGAACATGAGGAGGAGGAGGAGGAGGATGAAGGTGAGGAGGAGGATGATGAAGATGAGGAGGAGGAGGAAGATGATGAAGATGAGGAGGAGGAGGATGAAGATGAGGAGGAAGATGATGAAGATGAGGAGGAGGAGGAGGAAGATGATGAAGATGAGGAGGAGGAGGAAGATGATGGTGATGATGATGATGAGGAGGAGGATGATGAAGATGAGGAGGAAGATGATGAAGATGAGGAGGAGGAGGATGAAGATGATGAAGAGGAGGAGGATGAAGATCATGAAGATGAGGAGGAAGATGATGAAGATGAGTAGGAAGATGATGAAGATGAGGAGGAAGATGATGAAGGTGAAGAGGAGGAGGATGAGGAGGAGGAGGATAAAGATGATGAAGATGAGTAGGAAGATGATGAAGATGAGGAGGAGGAGGAAGATGATGATGTGATGATAAATTTAATTTAGCACTAAAAGAAAATCAACCTAAGTCAAATTGCAGGCAGAATATTTTGCCGTAAGGCCTCACTGAATTTTTTTATCCTATAAAATACTTAAAGGTAAAAAGTGTTTTTTTTTAAGTTCTATTAAAGAACTTGTATTTTGTCCAGTAACTTGAATTATTCGGTAATCTTTTTCTCTTCTCTTCTCTTCTCTTCTCTTCTCTTCTCTTCTCTTCTCTTCTCTTCTCTTCTCTTTTCTCTTTCTCTTATTTTTGGTGCCAGGGAAGGGGACCTCGTGCTTCCAGGAGGGGTCTTCCGCTGCTGAGCTACCTCTCCAGTCACAGAATTATTCAGTAAAAAGACTCCACTTTCACCTTTTCTTGAACTCACTCAGCAGACCCTTATCTGTTTTTTTGGAGCCGGAAAGTGCACTTAGTTGTTTCTTGCCTGAGAGGACTTCACACTCCGAATTTGGAGGCAGTGTTGTAGACCCACGAGGAAGCCTTCTTCCTTCCACTGGGTTTTGTCCTGGGAAACCAGGGTGGTCAGGACGTCACCACATGGAGCTGGCTGCATGTCCCCTGAGCTGGTTGCGTGTCCCCTGAGCTGGCTGCGTGTCCCCTGAGCTGGCGAGAGCTGGGAACTCCTATCTGGCCACATCTGCTCCTCCTGCATGTCCTACTGCAGCAAGAGGCTGTGTCCTGGGAGCCACCGCTGAGGATGGGAGGACTTTCCATTCCCAATGCTCCCGGAGGCCTCAGCCAGCATCCCGAAGCCTGAGCACTGCAGGGGAAGGGCGGTCCACCAAGGCCGGGCTGAGGGGCTCGGGGGACAAGGTCTGCCCTGGGTAGGACGAGGACAGAGCCCTCTAGCTCTAAGCTGTCACCTAGGCTGGCTGCTACATCTCAGCACCACCAGCAGTCCCTCGTTAAGGGCATCCTTGCGGCACACTTGTGTGATCCCAGCACTGGGAGGCTGAGGCAGAAGGTGGAGGATGACAAATTCTAGCCCAGCCTGTGCTATCTGTGACTGTGTGAGCCCCCGCCTCTGAAAGTTAAAATTAGGGGGGAAAGGACTGGTCGCAGGGGTTGGTTCTTAGTGTAAAGAATTTCTATTCAATCCCTAGCACAGGAAGAGAGGAAGGATGGATAGAGGGGAGAAGGAGAGAGAGGAGAGAAGAGGAGATGGAAGGGAGGGCGCAAGCGAGGGAGCTTTTGGCAGTCCAGGCAGTCACGGGGTGGTGTCTTCCTCTGGCCCCTCGCCCCTCTCACCACAATACTTAACTACACATGGGCTTTCCCGTCCTAGCTGCTCGAGTTCTCCCTGCCCCGCGCCTGCGGACCACCTCCCGCAGAGCCTCCGCCCGCCCACGGCCAGGTTCCACCAGGCCAGGTCCCACCAAGCCCAGTCCCACCAGGCCAGGTCCCGCCAGGCCACGACTCGCCAGGCCACGACCCGCCAGGCCAGGCCCTGCCAGCCAGCCCTGCCCCCCCCCCCGGCCCCTGCTCCCGGGATGAATGAAATGAAGCGTGTGACCACCTACCCACACACCTTGGCAGAGGTGCGCTCCACACGCGGCGGCCCCCGCCCAGGCACGCGAGCACTGCCGCGCCCTCCAGGCGGTAGCCGGGGAAGCAGGAGAAGGTCAGCGTGTCCCCGACGCCGAAGCGGAAGCCAATCCTGCGGCTGAAGGCGGGGACGCCGGGGTCGTCGCAGGGCTCCAGGTCATACTCTGGGACAGAGAGACAGCGTGAGGGGCGCTGGGAAAGGCTGAGCAGTCTGCAGCTAGAACCCGCAAAAGAAAACGCGGGCGCATGGCTGCATCCTCTGCGCGCGAGCGGCGTCGGCGTCAGAATTCCTGAAATACAGAGACGCCTGCGAAGCAGCAGGTAAGAAGCCGCGCCGCGCTTTAAAACCACCCTTCTGCGAGCCTGGCGGGGCTGTGCTCTCACTGCCACAGCCCTTCTCAGACGGCCTGAGGGGCCCGAGGCCCGGCGCACGAGATGAGGTCCCCATCCCTGAGGTCGCCTCTAGAATCTACCTCCGTGGAAGGCCACAGCTCCGCGCTCTCTAAGTGAGGCTTTGCTCACGGGCATCGAGGCCACTCCGTGCACTGCTGGCATTTCTGTGACCCACTCAAGGAGAACGTGCTCCACCTGTCCTTAGGGCAGAGGCCGCTGGCTGGTGTGGCCGCCCGCCACCAGGTGGGCTCAGAGCCGGGGCTGGCACCACCTGGAGCCCACATGTCCCCAGCAGCCCCGTCTGGCTTCCTTGGTCCCCCGCCCAGCAGGAAGCCCACGTCCGGCTGCTGTGGGCACAGGAAGACCGCGGGAAGCGTCCTGTCTGCTCTGCCCGCCTGGCGGCTCCCCTCTCTGTGATGCCTGCGGCAGCCCTGCTGAGTCAGCATCATGAGCTCCTCCTGGGAGGGGTGGGACAGGGACAGGGACCCTGGAAGGCCGACCAGGAGGAGGCAAGGGCCCGCGCTCCAGACTGGTGAGGGAGAGGTCGAGCTACGCCACCCTTCCTAGGGCACTTTCTCTCGGCTGTGATCTCCAGTGTGGGCTTCCAAGCCGCCAAGCTCTAAGACTTGCTCTGCACGTGCGAAGCTCATCATTTTCCCCTCAGGACTGTGGATGTGATCTTTGTGCGCCCTTTCCAGGCTGCTGACTCCTACATCTCCTCAGCGTGCTCCTGTCAGGCCCCACGGGGAGCCCTCCCACGGTGTCCTTCCTCCCACCCAGCCTACAGGCTGACCTCTGCAGAGCGCTCCCACTCCTGCCCTGGCTGCGCTCTTCTCTTAGGCAAAGAACTTGCTCCAGGTATCTAACGCACCCAAGCGGGTCATTCTTGAAGTACACGTGTACATCTGACCTTAATGTGCCCGCAGAAGAGAGAACACAAACAATGTCATTTAGTTGAAATAAACACGTTGAAAGCCTGTCGCGCAGAAAGCACTGGCACAATCTCCAGGAAATACGGAAAGGGAGACGTCGCGATCCGGCAGACTGCCCGGCACCTTCCTGATACGATTCTCCTCCAACCCAGGGATATTTTGTGCACTTGAAGAAAATGAAAAATCTTCTGCGATTCATTTGAAAACAACCAAACTCTCTAGCAAAAGGGGCAGACGACTCCTCCTTTCCTGCGTGCTCTTCACACTGCAAGAGGAGGCACGGCAGTCCTCCACCCCTGGGCCTGGCCCGCGTCCTCCCTTCACAGCGCCCGGCAGATCGGAAGCCTGAGGCAGTGTGGTGTGGGGCTGTGGGTCGCACATCCACCCATGGGGCTGTGCCGGGGTCCTCAGGCTGGCTGCCCCAGCCTCCACTGCTGTGTGTTGGTGCTGTGCACCTTCCCAAACTCTTGTCAAACCCGAGGACCACACGTCGCCCCGTCATGCTGCCTTCCCTCCAACGGAAAGTTTGCTCCTAGCAGTTAGCCCTTCTTCTTCTGCGGTTTACCCACTTGGCTTGCTCTCATAAGCATGTGTGTGGGCACCCATGGTAGGAATCGGATGAGCGAGCAGGCCAACTCACCACTCAGGCCAGCAAAGCTGCCTTCCCGGTCACCAGCCACCACACGGTCGGAAGGCTGTGTGTCTCGGGGGTCCTGTCCTCTCCACTGGCCCTGGTCTATGTCAGCTGCTCCAGTCCCCCACCCCAAGGCTGCTGTGAGCCCAGCTGTGACCCTGGCCGGGGTCCTCAGTCCTCTTCCTCCCTCTCAGATGAGGCTTCCATTTCTCAGCTGTAGGATGCACCTTCCCCTCTCCCCCTACATCCAGCAGGTGATGCGTACGCTCACCCTCCCTGCACTGGAGGGTGGAGCCCAGCCCCAACCTCGCCCTCTCCCCTCGCATCTCCACGCGCCATCCAGTCCCCTTTCCTGTCTTTACCGTCACCTTGTGTACTGCCGGCTTTCAGTATTTTTTTTTTTTTTAAATTTCACCACTTTTAGGGCTTGAAGCTCTTGACAATCTCTTCTGGGCTTCTCCTCAGCTTTCCAAGAGGCAAAACACTCCCATCCTCCCCCCACCAGGCCTCATTCCTGATGTGTTCTGTCTACCTGGCACCTTTGTCTGCTTCTTCTAAAAGCTCTGACCCTCTCCAGCCAGCCAGGCCAAGGACCTCCCAGCCAGGCCACGGAGCTCCCACCCTCTGACACCCACTGAACCTGAGCCTCCAGTGTCTCTCCTACTGGGGTTACTGAGTCAGTTGCCGCTGAGGTCACATGTCCCTTAGGCAGGCCTCAGGAGAGGGCTGAGCACATTAGCCTCTACTCACCGCTTGCAATGGCCTCCTGTTGCACTCAGTCAGCACCCCAGTGCTGTGTATGTGGCCTCACGTGAAGTGGCCTGTAGGCATGGTGCACAGCGGCCCTTCCCTCTTATCTCCACCTCTAGCCCCAGCCATCTCGTGTTCACCCATGAGCTTGCAGGCTCTCCAGCAGCTGCTCTTCCCCTGCCCTGGCCGTAGGAAGTGGATGGAGGTGGCGCACATGGGTAGTCCCCAGAGCACCAGGGGACCAAGCACTCTGCTCTGAGAGAAGAGGCTGTGGACGGCAGACACTGCAGGCCTGGATGGAAGGCACTTGCCTGGTGGAGTCTGAAGAGAGCACACTTATGTGGAGAGAGGAGTGCACGGAGGAAAGCAGCCCAGCTTCAGCTAGTTTTGAAAAGCCTGAGAACTGTGTGAATGCACTGAAAGTTGCTGACCCAGAAGGCGAAGTGTGGAGGGGTAGCTCGGTGTGTTGGTGTACACAGAGACTGACCAGAGCACAGAGAGGACATGCTCCCCGAATTGCCACCAAGGTCCACAGTGACACTGCCTGGGAGGCTCTGCTTTGACAAAGCCTTTGAGAAGAAAGGGGGGAGCTGGACGAAGAACAAGAGGAAGCTGTAAGAGACGAATACTGTTTTTGTTGAACGTCAGCAGGATCCACTGAAGGGCAAATGCATCGTTTGTATAATAAAACTGCCACTCCTTTGGGTTCTCCATAAAGTATCACTATTTTAGCACCGTTGGGCCAGGCTCAAGGCAAAGCGCCTACAAGGGAAATCGCTCCTCCTCGAGACGGAGCAGCGCGGTTTCCTTGAAGCTGCTCTGGTCGCAGGTATGATCTGGGCTTTCACGGGACTCTGCCCAGGGAGGGGCGTCCTGACGGCGAAGCCTCATGCTCAGGTGTGTGCTCTGAGGCCCTGGCTGTGTGGGGGATTGCTGGAAGGCTCCAAAGGCTTGCACTTAGGGTTCAACGCCAGTACAGAATCTGATAGCTGCCCCCAAAGAGCTCCATGGATCCGGAGGAGGGCACTGTCCTGTTTGTCACTTGCTTGTATAAAGGAACTTAGGACAAACGGCTAGATTTCCTGTCTAGCATTCTGACGATTGCTGTGATCTGAATGTGGCTCCCAAAATTCCTATTTTGGAAATAGCCTGTGGGGGCTTGGGAGGAGGCCCAGTGGGGCTCCTGGGGTGAGACAGGGCTGGGGTGGGATTACCCTCCCGCGAGGACTGAGGTCCTGCCCTGTGCCCCCCACCCCCATGCAGCATCCTGACCTGGGCTGGCCCGGCCGGTAGTGCTGTGAGAAGCAAATCCCTGGGCCCTGTGCATGCCCACCTCTGGCGTTCCATTCTGTGACACCTGCACTAAAGGACACCAGCAGTAGTGCCACAGAAGACAAAAGAATTGAGAAGCAGATGGAACAAAATGAAAAAAACATCTCACAGACTCATGAGGAAATCCGAGCCTGGGATCTGCGGATTCACACCAGCGCCGCCTCTGTCCTCAGAGTGCTCCGTGAAACTCGGCTTGGATCATGATCAAAAGAGCAACGAGGGGCCAGCTCCTCACCAAAGCCCTAATTGGGGCCAGCAGGGGCCAGTGCTGGGAGGGAGGGCGGGATCTAGGTATTAGCGCTAAGCAGACTTAAGCATTTGATACACAAAGTGAGTAGTTTCATGACTGCTGCATGTCACGGCGCACTCCCAAGAACTGAAGTAGGCCTCGCCAGCCTGAGAGGCTGCGCTTGCCGGGGATGCGGCGACAGCGCCCTGCGAAGTCAGTGTAGGAGAAATGGCCACTGGTGGGAACCGGAGAGGAGTCCCCTGGGGACAGCGTTAGGACAGGGCTTCATCTTCCGTGCTGCCACGGCCACGCAGGACTTAGTGACCGTGACTAAGTCCTGAGGTGTCCGCGGCAGGAAGAGAGCTGCCAGCTGAGAGCCCGCGGAGCAGACAGCGAGCTTTCCATCGCAGCAGGGCTTGGAGAGGGTGAGCACTCAGAGCCGCAGCAACTGCGCCCCCAGAGGCTGGGAGCGGTGCTGCAGACTACAGCGCCTTGAGCGCACGCACGCACTAGCCACCCTGTTTGTGGCATCCAGAGACAATCATAGAAAGTGGCATCACATCTGAGCTGCAAAGACTGACGGGAAGCAGGTTTTCCAGGTGCCCCATGTGCAGACACAGGTAAGTCTCATCCCTACATCGTTAGCACTCTCAGCCACGGTCTCGCCCCTGCTGACCCTGCCTGGGGCAGGAAGTGAGCACCACCAATCATGGGCCTGCGCACGATTCGCTCCGAAGCCGTGTGATCGAATGCATCCTGCATGTGTGGGTGGCTTCGGTTTTGGCAAATGTGTCTCCGTAATTGTGTTCTCATCTGCAAAACCGTACTACTACCTACGGCATAAAATTATGCAAATTAAGCAATCTAACCCATGCAAATATGTCGGCCATCACATCAGTCCAACACAAATACTGTCTCTCTATTACAGTAAGACTTCTAAGGGTCAGCCAAATAGCTCAACAGATTAAAGCACCTGTAAGCAGGCGCAGGGGCCGGGGTTTGATCTCTGGGCCTGCCTTGCCAGCCCTGACCTCAGGGCATGCTGAGACCTCGATTGAGACTGGGCATGGTGGCGTGTGCCTATAATCCCAGCTCTTGGGAGGCTGTAAACAGGTGGATCACTATGTGTCTGATCTAGTAATGAGACCCTGAACACCCTGTAGACCCTTCCCTAAAATACGAAAACAAACAAACAAATACAGTAAGACTTCTGGAGTCACTGAGCGGAAGGTGGCCCTGTGTCCACATGGCTCTCCTGGTGGCTTTCCTGCAGCATTGGCATCCACTGGATGGGGCAGCCAGTGGGGTCAGGGGACAGCTGGCCCTCAGGTCACCTCTGCAGGACAGAAGCATCCTCAAGTAGGACACAGGTGACCATGAGCATACGCAGGTGGGCTTCTTAGGAAAAGATGCTCTACGCATACATTTCCCAGGATGAGGATGTACAATCTACAAGGGCCTGGTGTGCTGTGGCCCCTGGGGTCCTCACACCCTGCCTGGTAGGAGCTAAGCTTCTCCACCGGGTTCTGGGAGGCCATCTCTGATTAGAAGCCCATGCAGAGGGAACCAGGGTGAGAGAAGGCAGGCTTTCACCAGAGCGAGGACGTGACAAGCAGACCCACATACCTGAAAAGGTGATGTTGAAGCCCTCATAGGAGATGGAGAAGTCTGAGATGAAGCGCAGCTGGGCACTGAAGTTTCCAAACAAGCCGGCCTTGATGGTGTGGGGCAGCACGGAGCCCGTGAGCCGGGCCACCGGCTGGGAGAAACTGCCGTCCTCCGTGATGAGCAGGAAGTCGTGGGAGCTCTCCAGGTGGAAGGTGTGGAAGATCATGTGCACCCCTGAGCCACAGACAGACGGGGACACAGTCAGGAGGGGCAGCTGCGTGGCTGCTTCTCAGAACACGGGCACCCAAGCCTTGAGCCAAAGAACTAAAATGCCATCTTAAGATGCAACTCTAGCCTTGAAGCTTAAGGGGAAAGTGCACAGAAAGAAGAAGTGAAGACCAGGGAAGTAAGAACAAGCACTCCAGCACGCGCTGCAGTGCAGATCTGGAGCGACACAGACGTCCATGGAAATGGAGGTGGGAAGAGGCGACAGGTAGGGTCAGAGGCAGGCGCAGGAGCCGCGCACAGCTCTCTGTGGACACACAAGGGTACCGACACGGAAGCATGGAAGGGGGCCGGCACAGATGGAGATCTCACCGTGGTTGTATGCACACGTGAACATCAATGTAGACGGAGGGACAGGTGGAAATGAGGACAGGGACAGGAGGTGATGTGGGCAGGATTGTGAGGCCCACATTCTAGGATAACCCCTGGGCTCGGGAGCAGCGTTTGTCCCAGGGGATAAAGGACAAAATAATTTTCCCTTTTGTGCTAAACTGCCCATCAGAAAATGTAGCTGGCAGCTCCATGTGTCAAGGGTCTGCGAGGGACCGTCCTGGAGGGCGGAACTTTGCTGCCTGCTTTGCTTGTGCCCACTCAGACGGTACACTGAGCCCTGCTTCTGGTGCCTGAGTTGATGGGGACACCGTGAGCCGTGAATGTGTCCCCTTAGGTAGCACAGTCTGTTGACTAAGGGACCTGGTGCTTCATGACCTGCTTCCTGTTTGGTCTTAGCGTGCTGCACGGCCAAGATCTTTATTGTATATCATTGGTAGTGTGATGTAAGACAGAATAGATAATAAATTAGGTCATTCTAACACCAAGCTGAATCCAAGGGTGGGTCAAAAGACCACGTCTGCACAGCACGTATGGGTCACAATTCTAAATGGTTTACTTGAGACAGAAAATCCAGCCAGGGGGAGAGGATACAGAGCTCCTGGAGCTCGCCCTGGGCGCAGAGTCCACCCTGCCCGTGCACACAGAGTTCTCCTGCCTCCCACACTTGCCTGTACTTCGGGGGAAGGCATCGGTACACTGTGTAAAATGAGTTATTTCTTATGTAGCAAGAGTGGGTGAACTTCAAGTGTGAGGCAAGAGCACAGACTTTCCAGGTGCATAATCAAAGCTAGAAGCCCAGCAGCCGCCCGCTTCTAGCCAGCAGTCGCAGGCCGCTCCTCACTGCCGGCTGGACCCTCGCGGCGACAGCGGGCCACGCGCGCACGGCTCGGCTCCCTGGGAACCTATGTTACTTGTAGCTCCGATAATTTAAAGACCATCGTTCTTCTAGAATCTTATTAAAGGTAAAAACCAAAGTCCTAAACTTTGTCCAAGGACACTGGCTCTTGTCCTGCCCCTCTGGACACGAGCACCCTCCGGGCCCTGCTGGGCCTCACGCTTCCCCAGGAATCCGAAGCCCGCACTGCCATCTTACCCTTTCCGTGAGACACCTCGATGGTCCACGTGCAGTTGAGGGAGTTGGGATAAAAGTCCGGAAAGCCGGGAGAAAGGACCGTTCCGCTCTTCCCCTGCAGGTAGCCTCCACACAGGGCTTCAAATGACAGAAATAATCCCGGGGTTATAGCCTAGCAGTGATTGCCAGTGTAAAACATTTAAAGTGGCACTGAATATGCCAGGAGACTAACCCAGGACCCCATGTCACGTTCATGAGCAAGGCAGAGATCCAACTTTATTTTACCCCAAATCCTGACAAGCCAGGGCACAGGGGGTGTCTGAGCTGACATCAAACCCAACGCAAAGTACAGCAGGAATAGCAACGGGGTTGCGAAGCACAGAGTCGTGGACACGCAGACGCCGCCCCCCGCCCGCCCTGCAGTGGGTGTGAGCCCAGGCGGCTAAGTCCCCACATTCAAAACGAGTTCAGAGTCGTTTCTGAAGGGAGGAAATATCATGAGGTCATAGCAAGCTCAGGGGAACGTAGCGACAGGCTGTCCACACCATATAAGGGGTAGCTTCTGCTTTCAAGAATTTTCTAATGTGTATATTTACAAATTTAAATGCACAATAATTGTGCACACTTGCGGGGTACAATGTGACATTTCTCTGCCTAAGTTCTGGGTACAATGACCGGATCAGGTCACTGGCACTTCTACCTCTCTGCACACACGTGTCACCTCTGCTGTGGGCAGTGTTCAGCAGCCTCTGTCCTGGCTTCCGGAACATCAGCTAGCTGTTCTCAGCCATAGAGAGACACTGGCCCCTGTGCCTGCGACACTGGGCACACTCCCTCCTGCCCCCACAGCCTCCCTACTCCTTTCCTTGCTCCTCCTGGATGCATAGTCTTTGAGTTCCCAGACTTGGCAAAGATATGGAAAAGAGGAGCCTCACCCGTGACCCACAGGAATGCAAACCAGGGCTGCCGTCAGGAAAAGTGTGCTGAGCCCTAAAATCTGGAAGCAGTGCGACCACATGCTCAGCAGTCCTGCATCCCAGGAGGGGACCTGGCTCGCTGAGAAGAGCTGTGCTCCCACTCTGCACAAGTAGTCATGGCAGCAAGAAAGGACACGGCCAGCTGAACTCATGCCGAGGGGAACAAAGATGGGGCAGTCCGAGGTGGAGAAAAGAGGTGGAATCTTGTCATTTGCATGTGAGCTGGAGGCCCTCTGCTGAGTGAAATCACTCCAGTGCACATAGACAAAGGCCAGGAGCTCCCACCTCGTGACTGTTTGAGTTCCTAAGCTCTGATGTCGGATGCGGAGAGGGCAGACCTGGGCTAGACATGCACCTCTCACGTAGGAGCCTGGATTCCACGTGGGGGAGCGGATGGGGGTGCAAGAGGCCACAGCGCCGTGAATGTGGACACAAGTAGGGTGAGCAGGTAGAGGGAATCTCAGCACCTCCACCTCAGGGGACAGGAGGACTCCACACAAGAACCTAAGCAGGTGACCATTGTGCAAACAGAAACGGGAAGAACATTGCTCTGAACACAGGGACTAGTCACTTGTCACTCTGATTTGTCTATGGCCAGATTAGCATAAATTAACATGTTCATTCCTCTCATTTTTCTGAAGGGTTTAACCAAAAGAATTTTAAAGCATTTTATATAAAATGGAGATCTCATGCATCCAAAGTTGTTGCTGTCTATTCCCTAAAAGCAAATGCTACATAAACTGATAAAAATGTATTCATATCAAGCTACATTTACAAATTATGCAATCCAAGCTTCATTAGTTCACCCTCCGTCCTGAAGCCATCAAGGAAAGTCCCTGGGCTGTGGACTGGGGAGAGCCCGAGTTGCGTGACGCCGTCCACACGCAGGGCACAGAACCCAGGTCTCCAACCACAGGCTTGGGGGCTCCAAGGAGGAGGAAGTTGGAAGAGGCCTTGCAAGGAGCCCGCCCCCGCCAACCCCAGCCCCAAGGTGTGCGAGCTCGCCACAGCTTCATCCCCCGCTAGGGAGGCCTTGCGTGAGCCTGCACACGCAGTGCAGGCTTTCACGAGTGGCATCTGCCTCACTGAGGGCTCGGGTTGGGTTCTGATCCGATACTGAAGAGTGGACAGGAGAGAGGAGCTCCGCGCCTTGCCTTAAATCCCAGTGCTCATGTGGGCCCTGGCTGCGACCCCAGGTGGGGTGCCACCCCCGGGCAGCCCCACATTTAGCTGCCCGTAATCTGAGCTGCGTGAAGCTGTGTCCTTCTGCACTCTGCACTCTTCTGGATAGTTACAAGGAGCACAGAAAAATTCCCCTTTTGTTTTCCTTAAAGCTAAAACTGCTGGAATTTCACTTTCCCAGCTATGTTACTGATCTAGAAAAGCCCCTAGATACACTGAGAGGAACACCTTCCAGGGAGACAAACTACGCAGAAACTAGCACAGGACGAGTGGGGACCCCAGCTAGATCCCCCCGTGTGTCACAGGGACCACGTCCCGCTCCGCCGGGCCAGCTTGGGAATGTCCAGCCTGCACTCAGAGCCATCTACCGAGGAGGAGCGTGCATCTACTTTTCAAGCACTTTTTCACTTGTGGGCAACTAAACAAGTAAGACAGGGAAGTTTATGGCATACTAAAGCTTACAGTGTAGAGAGGGAGGTAAACAAGTTGGATAAAAATCCTCTGATAATCAGGCAGACTTATTCTAAGAACAAGACTAGCTCACTTTCGGAACGCTACAGCACGTCCCCCTGGAGAACAAACAGAAAGATGGGGGAGTGAAGACTATAGGCCGCAGAGCCAGGTGGGCACCACCACGGCCGCTCTAGGGCGGACCCTGAGCACAGGGTAGGCGCTGCCGGGAACCCAAAGACCAGGAGTAGCTGTATTCACCCAGTGTCCTCAGCCCCTGCGCGCTGAGGTTCCCGGGTTCCACGGGACTCGAAAGCCTGCTCTGCTTCTCTGCTTCCTGGAGTTGTACCGGAGCCCCATCATCCTGTCTGATAGGTCTGGATTCCAAGTTTCCCAGGCAGCCCGCTCCCAAACTCTCTCCCCTTGGGCCCCACGCAGAGCCAAGCCCAAAACCACAGAACAGGTTCACCTGATTGACCTGGGCAAGCAACCACAGGAACTCTCCCTTGTTAACATGGAAGGTCCCCCACAGACCAGGGGGCCTGCCAAGGTTAGCCCTCCCTCAGCTGTTCCAGCATGCAATTACCCTCCCCTAAAAGATCCTATAAAGTTCCTGTTCCCCCTTTGTTCACTGGGTCTCGCTCCACGAGAAAGCCAGCCTGCATGATGCCCCCGATAAATCTTCTACTTGTGTCAGGATGCCTGGTCTGGTCGGCTGCGTGGGTTCATGCCTAACACTGTCCTCATGCCCTCTGAAGCCTGTCTCCTCCTAAGCTGCCCAAACTCTTCTGATAAAGTGAAGTTCACTCAGTCATCATGGCCCAGAAAGTTGAGTCAAAGGATTTAAGAAGTCGGTGGCTAAGCAACCACTCACCGGACTGCAGAAGGGTGAGGCTGACTGTGGAGCCTGTTGTCACAGGCCACAGCCACTGTCCCCTAGGGTGTCGGCCTTGGGAGGGGAGCAGCCAGCCGCGCCAGGCGGCCTCTCCCTGCAAGGGAGCATTCACCCCAGGGCGACGCACCCTCTCACTTAGCGCGTGAGGTCTTCCAGATTCCCACTTTCAGTGCGGCCTCTTCCTTGCACTCAGACCGAGTGCGCACTGCCACTGGACAAGGACACGCTCTTGGCGCCCCATCTCTCGTGCAGCCGCAGCACCCCTCACCCACACCCCTGCCATTCCCCAGCTCCACTTCCTGTACACTTCCTTGAAGAGACCACGGCACCTCGTGTCTGATTTCTTTCTTTTCCCTCTTCATCCATCATTGCCTTTTCTTTCTTTTTGCCATAACTATGAAGACAGCTCTGCTCAGAGCAAAATGTCGCAGGGATCTTTGCATCTCTGCTGCGTAGGGCCAAGGACTGCGCTCACACAATGAAGCGGTTACTGATGCTGACTTCACTTCCGCTGAAGGCCCGGAGCCTGGCGAGGACAGCCGCGTTTCCCGACCCTCCTCCTGCCTGCGCCCACCTGCGCCGGGCCAGCTCCCTGGATGTCACCCTCCCACGCTTCCTCCGGGGCCCACTGTGACACTTTCTGAATGTCGCCCTCAGGAAACAAAATCTTCTTTTCTTCACCCTCGGCCATTTTTCCTGTGTCTAATAAAGTAACTATCTCTTTGTGTGATTTAACAAACTGCTGATAAACTGACTTTTCTGCCGTGGGGATGCAAATACAGTAGTGTTTAGACAAATGATTGCAGAAAGAGTAACAGTCCCAGGAGTATCTACAGAGGGAACCGACTCTGGAGAGTCCCGCCCACGGCCCTCACCGCGGGAGAGGAGGGCCAGGTAGCAGCACCCTGCACTTAGGTGCTCCAGAGCTTGGGCTGTAAAGAGGATGTCTACGCTGAACTACAGCGGCGCTGCAAAGACAGAAGAGATGCTGGGAGTGTCATCGTTTTTCAGTGATGTAAGATATTCTAAGTTATCCTGCTTTATTTTGCTTTCTAAAAGCCATGGATTTTAAATGTTTAAATAGCCGATTGATATATGTTTTGTTGCAATAAAGCCCCATAGGATTTAAGAGATTGTCTGAGATTTCAAAGGGCTAAGAGAGCAATTCTTTGAGTTAAATGAAAACAATCAACCATGACGGACTAAAATTCACACGTCAAACTCTAACATCTCCCAGAATTAGATTTATTAATAACCTTTAGCACAAATTAATCATTTCTGAAACCTGCTCCACTGTAGCAAAACTAATAACTGATACTTACGTTACCAAACCCTGAGATCATTTAAATTTCAAATTCCCACACATTAAAGTGGAAGACAGCGCAGTGACATGGCGGCTCTGGAACGCTTCTGCTCGTGAACAATGTGTTTTGCAAAACATAAGCGTTCCTCAAAATCCTGGTTCCATTTGCAAACATTTCTCTTCTATGGCCAGGACTGTAAGCATTAAGGGTAACCTGTGTGGAATGGCATAAGGAAAGGTGCGAGTCCTGCAGGAGGAGACCTGGAGGCCTGCAGAGGAAGCTGACCATTCACCTGTGGGGTCACGGGGCAGAGGCAGGAAGCAGGAGGCGGTGCTCTGCTGGGCAGAGGTGGAGAGCAGCAGTCCTGGTTAGATATTGAAATGTTACGAGTGTCAAGTGACCCGTGCTGGGTCACCAACCACAGGCAGTGTGTAATGCACAACGTCATGGAACCTTGCTCTGCATGAAGAGAAATCCAGCCCAAAATTGGAACGAGCACTCGCAGGGGCTTCAGGCGGAGCCTCTCTCAGGCGCACTCATGTCCTGCTCACTGAAGGGAGGCCAGGTCGGGTCCCACTGCGGAGGAGCGGGTGGTGTGCAGCTCCCTCACGATCAGAGAGCTTCCTTGGCTCTGTGTCCACCGCAGGAGCAGGAGGCCCACGGCCAGAGCCGGGGACAAGGGCCCCACACTCTTCTGGGTCACCTGCCCACACCAAGGAAAGCCCAGCAGGGACAGCAGTCTACTGTGCTCACTTCCAAGTCTCACTTTATCTCTAGTGCAGTGACTGCGAAAGGAAAAGGCTAGTACAAACACACAGCGGCTTTTGCTACAGCCTGAGGCCTGCGTGTAAGCAGGTACTCTGTAGCTACATGTGATGAGGAGCTTGCCTTCTAGGAAATGTTTGAAAATTAAGTAAGATACTTGATTCACCTTCAGTTGTAGGTGAACTTCAAAGCACTTTAGGCTCCTATGTAGCTGAATGGAAGTGTGTGAACGGCGAGCGGCGGTGCTAAGGTTGGCTTTAGTGTAGAACCCTAAAGTGAGGCAAATATTTACATGTGTTATATGATATTATCAGGTTTTATAAAATTGTGGGTTTTTTAAAAAGATTTTTTTAAGTTTGCTTTTTCAGCAATACTCACCCAGCCTACTCGTAGGGCACACCATGACGCCTTGATGCACGCCTTTATTTGTCATGGTCAAATAAAGCGATGCCGTCTGTCCGTTGCCTCACGTGTCTCAGAATTTGAGGGCAGAACATGGAAGACCATCTTCTGAACCCATCTATCCTGTAACCTGATGCGGCCGTTACTGTGGGCGCCCTGCTGCGGGCAGGCCTGGGTCGATTCCTCTAGTCTGGGTGTAACTGCAGACCCACGGAGTGTCCCCGCTGTTCCCTCTTCCCCACCTCCAGCCCCTGGTCACCTCTACTCCACAGACTTCTGCAGATTCCTCACACCACTGAGGCCTGCTGTGCCTCGCTCCTGGCACCCGATGTACCGTCTCACAGGTGACCTGTGGCAGGAAGCTGCTCTCCCATTTGTTTTCTGCGACAGGGCTTCCCTGCGTACTCCAAGCTGGCCCTGATCTCGTCGTGATATCCTGCCACAGCCGCATGGTCCTGTGCCACCACACCCGGCTTTAAGCTTCTGTTCTTTTGGCAGCTGAATGGCATCCTCTGTGTGTGCACCACGTTTCCTTCATTCTGTGGTCTGCTGGTGGATCCTGGGGTCCACCCCACATCTTTCCAACTGCGAATAGTGCTGCAGTGGATGCTGAGTGTAGATGTGCTGTCAGCATGCTGATGGCCTTTGTGTGGACGTGGCCAGCGTGGGGCTGCTGGGTCACCTCTCAGCGTAGTTTGACTTCCCTGAGAACTCCACATGGAATTCCAGGGCTGTGGGACTGCCCGCCACACCCGCTCTCAGGGGAGATGCTGCCTTTCTCCACCCTCAGCTGCACTTGTCATCCTCTGTCCTGGGAGGCGGACATCCTCACAGGTGGGAGGCCGCATCTCCTGGTCATTCTGATCTGCACTTCGGCTTGTGGCACTCAGCCTCTGCCTCTTCTCTGGGAAGATGGAGTTGGTACTGGGATCGGGCGATTCTGGAACTGTGGTCTCCTCCCAGGGATGTGGTCTTCAGCATTGCCACCAAGCCGGCAGGAGTAGCTAGTGGCCTTTGCCCTGCGTCTTGGGGCTCCTCTGCTGCCTGCCTTTGCCTGCTGGCCACTGGCCCTGCACACAGGAAGCTGGATGCTCATCGCTGTCTCCCAGAACCCAGAGCCCCACGCCGCTGGTCCGGGTCCTCCGTGCTTCAGCCAAGCTGCGTCGTCTGCCTGCTCCGTGCGGATGCCAACTGCTGCTCAGATGACACTTGGTGGCAGAGGGCAGTGGGTTTTAGTGGTTTGTGGCTGAGGTGGTTCTTACCAAAACCCTATTGTGTAAGTGCGTTCTTAAAGAAGTCAAGATATTTAATAAATGTACAAATAATGCTTCGAAGGAAATGCTTACAATCTTTATGACTGAGCAGATGGAAATTTCCATTGGTACATCCAACTTCCACTTGCCCACGCATTATTTCCATAGAAACAATTTTATAGTGAGAGGATTATTTTCCGGCCTGATGGCAAGATGCTCAAAGTTTTTTTGCAAACAACACAAATAGCATTCATCTTTTAGCGTGAGGTTGGGTGAGGTACAGTCACCCTCTAATGGAGAATGCTATGCACCTTGAGGCTCCCAGAGTGGGTGCACGTCAGACGTGGCCAGCCCCAAAGGAGGGTCTGCAAGACGTGGGAGCCCAGCAGGGCTGCAGAGGGGGCCGGGTCAGGAGACGGGCTATGTGCAGGAAAGGCAAGGGCCGCGCTTCAGCCCAGATGGGAGGACGATGGCCCGTCCTAGAACGCGTCAATGAGCGTGGGCCCACCTGCTGAGAATGCCGCGCACAGGAGCTAGCAGACTGAGCCTGCGCACCGGAGGACAGCCCCGTTGCTAAGCAGTAGCCTTACATAGTAAGCAAAATACGGCGGGCGGACTTTAGGTGTGCGACACTTTAGGGCTCACGGAGTTTCAGATGAATCACACCTGGGAGATTCCCCAAGGACAGAAGTCTGCGTCTCCCTACGGCACCTGCGCGGTCAGCGCCACCTACCGTCACAGCTGGGCAATGCATGATTCCACTGGTGGTTCCTCTCGCAGACCAGGGGCTCGTCGTCACTCAGCGTATACCCGGGGTCGCAGCTGAAGGTCACGGTGGACCGGATGCCGAAGTTACTGCCGTGCCTGTGGCCGTTCACAGGGATGCCCGGGTCGAGGCAGGAGTCTGACTCGAGGGTCACACCTAGATGTAAAACACAGGACCAGAGGACCTTGGAGGTGAGCGGAAGAGAAAGGGCAAGCCCGCGCTACCAAGCTCTGCAGCCCTCCGGACACAATCGATCCGGGAAGACACGCAATGGAGTAACCCATTACCGAATTCACGCTTGAGCGTCCAACAAGCGATTCATGGAAAGAAAAGTCCCAGTTCATGCAGCTGACCCTGTGCTCAGATTGGAGGGATGTGTATTGCACAGTCCACCCGGTGATGCCTCCCTACTGCAACCCTGAATAACTCACTGCCTTCTGTGAATTTCACTTTTCTTTGTTGTAAACCAAGGAGCTACTAAAGTCCACGTTTCCCCCTTTAGATTTTAATCTCTGAGCTCTCCTTCCCTTCTTTTTTGTCCTTTAAGTTCCTGTTAGATTTGGGTGATCATACGGCGACGGTGCACGCGTATGCTTGGAGACACACCTCATGCAATGTAGAATTACAGCGCAGTGGACTCTTTAAAATTGCATTTCTTAAACCCATACAAGAATCTGCACTTAGCACAGCCGCTTTGGAGGTGGTGTAACTAACCAAAGCTACAACATGTGCACAAGTGCAAAACAAAGTTACGGAATCAGATCTCGTCACTGCAAGAGCTGCTTTTCTGTTGTACGTTTCTCATCTCACACAGCACATGTTTAAGAGACGATCAAACTGAGAACAGAGGGAGAGAATAACTAATATTTGTACACACAAAGAATGCAGGCTTGCTTCAGTGTGTATCGGTCACTTACTAAACTCCAAACATGAACTATGATCTGAAATAATAAAAAATCTTAAACTGTTTCTCCTATTTAGGTTATTAGATCCCCACCTGTGATCTCCGGCATATTACTAGGCAGAGTTTGAGTGATGTGATTTGTAAGTACACTTTCCCTAAGTAAAATACATGAAATACAACACAGAGATTTTGGGAACCAGCAATGTTCCCTTATCAGCACAGCAAAGCATGGCTGAGAGGCCCGGGAGGCCAGGCGGCCTGCAGTGCCACTGCTCCACCGTGCTCTAAGAGCCCAGTCCGGGGGAGCCCTGCTGGACCCTCCTGAGCACCCGGGGGAACTCGCGGTGGGCGCGGGGGCAGGGAGCCTTCTGCGCCCCCTGCAGGAGGCGGGCAGCAGGAGAATGAGCTCATCATGGAGACACGACTGAGTCCACTACAGCTCCCCGGAGGCCCGCAGGCGCTGGGCCCTATGCTGCAGAATCACCCCGCAGCAGCCCGCAGCCCCAAAGCACCCCGGAGTCCTGTGCTGTGCCGGGATCCGTCCCAGGCTCCCCCACACGGATGCCTCTGTGTTGCATGCTGTCCTTGTACTACACATGACTGGGCCATAACTTCTCCCAAAGTTCTCTGAGTCCCTGCAGCCAGTCCTCACCCCTCAGAGGCGGTCTGGCGACTCCTGGCCTCTCGGCGGTTCTCTGAGTCGGCAGAGGGCCCAAGGCTTGCACAGAGGAGCAATGTCCCCTTAGCCCCGCAGTGGCTGGCACTAGCGAAGCCGATGAAGCTAACTTAGAGTCGTTTTCACAGCAGGCTGAATGATGGGAGGAACCAAAGCTAGAGGACTACAGGGCTTTATTTTCCCAAGAATTTTTCTTAAGCCAACATTCTAAGCTCCTGAATACTAACAAGCATGCCTTCTCATGAGCAAGAGGTGTCTGTCTTATTCTCACAAATTTCGAAGGCACAGACTCCTCATCCTTAGGTGGCTTTCCACTCTCCACGACCCTCCATGGACTGCTTCTCCCCTGCTGGCCCTCTTCTGTGCCACCCTGGCTTGTAGCCAGAGGGCTGCGGACTGTACCTCTGCAAACCGTGAGCAGAAATGAATCTTTCCTTCCTGAAGTTGCAGGTCTTGGGTCTTGTGTCTCACCAGTGAAGAGCCTAATGAAGACGCCCAGGTTCTGGAAAAGTCACCTAAGCATGGTATACCTTCAGGTGGCTTCCTGTATGACCAAAGAGCTTTATATTCCTTGCACTGCAGTGGACAATAGTGATGGGGATTACAACTTTATGTGTATGTGAGAATAACACAACAATGAATAGCATTTAAAAGAAGTTTGGAAATAGTGACCTTTTCCCACCCAGAATTTACAGTTACAAAACAGACAGACGCTAGTGGAAATCAAAGCATAGATCTAAGCATAGAATCCCACACATGTAAACAGAAGGCGCTGTCATTGCGCTCCTGTGTCTGCCTTCTGTCTGGGATGCTGGGGCTGAGCTAGGAGTGTGCTGGCCTCAGGCCTCTCGGCATTGCTGGCTGTTGGGGCTCCAGCGGGGAGGGGAAGGTGCCCTGGTGCAATGGCAATGATAACCTCGAGGACAGCTCAGCAGGGTGGCCAGGCATGGAGGCCCTGGGCAGTGAGGGTGGGAGCCACCATAGGGCCGTCCAAGGGGTGCAGCTGAGCACAGAACTCTGGCTGGGGCACCTGCTCGGGGTTTCCCTGAGTCCTCTTCAGGGCTTTCCTGTTCGCCTCTTGGCCTCCACAGAGACAGCATGCAGAGAAGCAAGGGCCCGTGGATTTTCTTGTGTTTTTACTTTGCATGGGGCTGGAGAGGGAACCCAGCCTTTGCAGTGAGCTCATCCCCATCCCTTTTTATGTCTTATTTTGAGGCAGGCTGGCCTCAAACTTGCCACCCTCCTGATTCAGCCTCCAAGAATGCTAGGACGAAGCCTGGTGCACTCACCAGGACCAGGTTTAGTCAGCACTGGGAGCACATATAGATTTTGCTCCAACTGTTTCTTAGTTGAAACTTAGAGTAGGGATTCTGCACACAAATGATGTGAACATGCTTCACTGCACTTGAACTTTGAAAAACATGTGGCTTAAATGTGCTGTCAGCAGACACAGGAGGCTGACTGTGCTGAGGGCAGCCCGTGTCTAGCTAAGGCAATGTGCATTCCATACAGCGAAGGTGGCTCCTGTGTTAGCTATCAATCTTAACAGACATCTAGTCGAGGAAT